CGTCTCTCTCTCTCTCTCTCTCTCTCTCTCTCTCTCTCTCTCTCTCCTGTCACAGGCGGCTCCTTTTCCTTTTATATCCTGTTTTACGTCCACGTCTACGCGAAACGAGGAATATACCCGAACGAACGCACACACGCGCCGCGGAGCGTCGCGACGGCCGTCGGTGCCGGCCGGTGTCTCCAATCGAACTGCGGGGGTAACACGACGGTGGCGCCGCCGAGGGACGCCGCTACCGCTGTCGCCGCCGCGCGGCATGCGTCATAACGTCACCGCCACCGCCTTCGATCGGCCGCCGCCATTTTTTTTTGTGTACCCGTACCACCGCGTTACTAACCCTGAAAACATTCCGCCTGGAAATGCGTGCCTTCCGATCGAGGATGCGCAAGAGGACGAACTGAGGGATGTAGCGCCGGGGATGCGGAATTGTACGCAGAGGTATGTCGCGTTTGCCGCGCGCCACGAACATCTTCGTGCGCGAATTGAGAAAGGAAAAGATTACGAACTGTTTGTTCAACATAGAAACTGTATTCTGTATTAAACTTCATGTTGAAGATTGAAATTATACGTTACAAATTCGTATTTGTCTGATGAATAGTCAGCATTACAAATTGCTCGTCTGTTTTTCATGGATTATATTCATAATCTAACATCACCCCATTTAACCTATCAGTTTTTAATCGCTAATTCAACAATCTTTAATTGTCATGCATTTTAACCATGACCTTTAATACGAAATCTGATACGCATTTAATCTTTAAACTGCATTTCAAACTGCACATAATCGTAATAATTAGTACTTGACTGGAATAATCTGGATCCAAAAGACCCAAAAATCTTATGATATTATTATTGACTCTTTAAATAAAAAAGAATATTCTTCGTAATGAGATTGCTTGCATTCAATTATATCTAAGAAAAGGTTATTAGAAATTTTTACTCGGCTTCTTGTTTAGAACCGATAAATTTAACTTTTCTCTTGGATTTTTTGCAATGCACTTTTTAATACATTTGCAATACATTTTTTAATAAACAATTTAATTTTTAATATAAAAGTAGATAATAAATGCAAATGCATGAGTTCTCATTATGAGAGCCATCTTCTAGTTGAGGGTTAAATTAACCATTGCATGCAAAACATTCAACAAGAATACTCTATTGCCTGAATAGAGAACGGTTGAAAATTCAATAGTGGCTCTGCAGTGCGATGTAGAACAAAAGATTCAAAACACACAGTAAAAGCATATTAGGTTAATCGCTTTTTTAACGGAATAGTTTGCTTTACAAAGAATTAAAACGATTTGAGAATCCAAATATATAAAAACCAATTTTATATATGTAAAATTTTCATAGCAACGTTCTACGAGTATTTAGTGATACATATATGTGTGTGTGTGTATATATATATGTGTTATAGATTATAATAGTTAAATCAAAACTTACAATTTTGTCTATATTAAAACTGAAACTTTAATAAACAGTATTTTTTTCATTGTATATTTATGAATTTAGCTAAAATTCAATTACTTTGCCGGTTCCGGTTTCCACTTTCGTGAGTGTATTACGACGATACATTAGATCTTTCGTGAGAAAGAATGCTTGAGGATAATAAGTTCTTTCAGTCTGCAGCTTAAGTTAAGATACAGTTCCTTGAGATTAATTATATCAAAACCACTGTATAATTAATAATATTTTATTATAAATTAAATAATTAATTTAGCGTAAATGTTTATGCATGGATAAACATTGTAGAAATATATTCAATTATTTTTCTTGTTTAACAGTACAAAAAATGTGAGAGAAATTCAAGTTACTGTCTAAATTAAATCGCAAAATAAAAGAAGAACTCAATTAACGGAAAAATATACTGCTGGATACAAGGTGCTTTTTTTTCTCTGAAACAAGTTGCATGTCAATATTTTAAATAAAAATTTAATTTAAAAAATCCAATAATACACACTGTCACATTATAATTTTTTATGTTGTTGAATTTCTCAATTATTAAAATTTGTTTGAGTTTTGATTTTTAAATTATTATATTAAATTATCTTACGTTATATATTAATAACCTCAAAATTAAAGAAATTAATCAAAATACAACAAACAAAAAATAGAAATCATTATAAATAAAATTCTTATTAATGACATATTCTGGATAATATCACTGAAAAGAAAAAAATTTTTAAAGATTAGTAGTAATTTACTACGTACATTCTTACAGTTGTTTACTTTTCCTAGACGTTAATTAATCTCGATTGTTATGTCTTCCAATCATCTAGTTTATTTGGGTCACTCAGTATATAACGCGATGAATTTCATCAGTTTACCTTAGTGCTCTTCTTTATTACTTTAGAAAACTCAAGTTCCACATAATCTGGTTAACAACGGCACCTCATAGTTAATCGTGTTCAACTAGTGATCTATTCTGCAGTTTTCACGGTAAACGGATGATCTCGGACGTAATAAAAAAAAAGAGATAATCTTCACGAAAATCTTGCAATGATGTTCGTTCGACAGTAATGATTTTCTTCAACAACTATGAATTATCAATATGTTTTTTTATTTTATTCTATATGGAGAATCGTGAAAACGTTGCAGAAATATTTAATTGTACAATTGCAATATCACTTTTTGAAATGTTACTGCAATTTCACTGCAATTTTGTTGTAATGTCACAATTCCATATTGCAACATTGCACTGCAGTTTACTACATTGCAACATTGTTGAAATGCAACTGAAAAGGTCCACTGTGCCGTAGTATATCGTTATAACAAAAATGTATAATAGAAAAGTCGATAGTTTCTTTGAATTGTCCCTGAGGCAAGAAATAAACAATGGAGAAAGAGAAAGTCGCTTACGATTCTACAAATTTCACAGATTTCTACGAATTGTACAGACGATGTTATGATCAATTGCTCAAATATATTGCAAATTTTAATCAATTGCTGCGCGTTAATAATTTTGTTATCAAATATTTATTTTTTTAACATAAATTTATCTTGCAAACACGAATAAGTATTACAGTAGCATATATGTGATATTAGTTGCCTGAAGTCGTAACAATATTATATATAATTCAATATAATTATGTTATATATGTTCTTAATATATACGTATTATATATGTTATATATTATATAATATATGTGCGTGCAATATAAACGCATACATATATGTATATTAAGAAATTATTATGATATTGGCAGTTCAGTTGTGTAACATAAAATCATTGAATATTAATTCAACATAATTGATAATATGAAATAAATTATTTTGAGCTTTAAAATAATACATAAAACATCAATTTTTAGATTTTATTGCAAAAAATAATTTTCCATTTTCATAAAAATAGGAAATAAAAAATTTTATTTATTTTTTGATTAGTAAATATAAATTTATATTATTAAATGTCTTCATCGTGTTAATTTTTAAAAAGAAGTTAAATTTGTCACAATTTTTTTCACAAAAATCTGTTTTGATAGTTACAGAGTGACAAGCAAATTTGACGAGACACATTAAAAACTAGATTAGAACTTTGTCACGCGTTTTTCACTGAACGCGCTGAACATCTCGTATGTTGCTATACTATCAATTTCTGGCACATAGTGAACTTCCCCAATCCGCCTAATCCATCTTATGGCTATTGACAGGATCCTAAGTCTGTGTATATGTGTGTATATATTTATTAACAATCTATAAAGCTAACAACGTTACATTATCCGCCATTAATGGCAATATCGATTTGCAATCGGTCACGTGAGGCGACACGATGTAAAATATAAAAGTTTGTAAAGTAGCAAAAGTACTCGAAAAAGATAATACTGCAAATCTTATTATAAATAAGTAGTAAATAAGTAGAAAAGCATGGTTCGCGCAAGAAATCGCCGAAACTTTATGGTATTTATAGCTGCGACTACTTCAATCTTATGTTTAAAATTCGTACAATTTCATCAATCTTTCACAAATTTTGAAGAACCATAAAGATTAAATTCGCACTAAGAATTAAAATAAAATAAAAATAATTCTGGAATACAGCGCTAATGCACGATAGAAGAAAGCAAAAAGAATCTGCAAGAATTTAATAATATGTATAGAGAAAGATCAATGAAATCGATTATATAATTATCTTTCAGGAATTAATATTAACTTAAATACAATTTAATTATAAAAATAAAATACTGTAATATCAGTATACGTCTTTTAAACTTTCAGAAACAATTTCTGTTCTTAGTATACATTGGTAATTCTTTGTTAGTATAAGTATAGTTTGTTTACGATGAGTTATTTTACCAAATCCTCTCTTTGTTACATCGATCATTATTGTAACTGAACTTTGTGTCTTACTGACAAACAAGTTATGTTTATGTTAAATGCAAAAATCAGTAAAAAAGCGTAGCAAATGGTTCACACCTTTGCGCACATATAGAAATTATTAATTCATACATTTTAATAGTTCAATACATTTTAATAGTTATTGCATAACTATTTAAGAGTTGTCGTCAATCCTAAGAATATGATATGAATTACGCAATTACGAAATGAATTACATATAATAATACATATGTTAATGGTAATTATATTCATCGCTGAAGAGAATTAGTATATATTTTATTAATATTATCATATATAAAATATGATATATATCAAAAGAGAATATTAAATATCAAACAATTGGTATATAAATATCAATATAATCTAATCACTTTCAAAGAGATAATTTTTTATTTGTTTATATTTTATATACAGGGTGTTATAGATCAGTTTATATTTTACATTATTTTTAAATCTTTTCTATATAATTCTTTTATTAATTATTTGTATAAAAGATGAGTAAAAGTTCAATATACGTAATAATTATTTGTCAAATATAATTATTTTCAATGCTCTTATAACTTGAATATATTTTATATGTTACAGATACTTGGATACATTTTGTATGTTATTTGCAAACAACTCCGCTGCTCCGCATCATGCCGGTAAGTCAATCCAATTTACTTTATTTTAATATCATTAAGAGAATTTATTAAAAAATAATGTAAAATATACGAGATGTATCAGACTAATCATATCACCTATTAATAACAATATTATACACCCTGTATAATAACATTCTAAAGGCAGTTATTTCGAATTTTTATTTTAGTCTTATAATCATGCTTAATTTGAACAAATAATAATTTTTTATTACAAAATTCTCAAATTTATTCTTATATCGATAAGAAAGCACTCCGTATAATTGCATCTGTGGGTTGTGTTTAGTAATATGTAATAAAATATATAAACTTTAGGTTTAATATCTTCAAAAAAAGATAAGAATATTATATACAAAAACTTAATTTTAACACGAAATATAATTAAGATAAAATGTGTGCGATAATACGGGCTTTCCAAAAACATGGAACAGATAGAAACAATTGTCAGCGCCGCAACAATCTCTTTCGTCTTCGCGCACCGCGTCGGTGGATTTGCATCTTTACACGAATGAGGATTTACACATTCTTCAAGTTAATTTGCATACAGAAAGTTGCACTGGGAATATATATCGTCGCTGCGACGGCTATGCGACCTCCGCCATCCGGTCAGAATCTTCCGCGCGTGTATCGTGGCGGTGACGAATATATTTCCACGGCGTTGATTAGCGGCCTCAGTAATTTGAGATAGTGTTGGTGAAGGTGGTCCACGTTTCCTCGATAGGTGCCAACACGGTGATCACTATGAGGACTGCGGCGAACACGACGATAACCACAAAGTACACACCGAAAATGAACTTCCGCATACTAGAGTGCTGCCGAGAAAATATTCAATGAGACTTTGTTTGCGGACTGATATTTGTTTGTGCGCTAGATTATTTTTCAGCGCGATACCGGTTCTCAGCACCGATATAATATTTACACAATTTATTACATGTGCAGAAAAGATATTTATCCGGAGTAAATTTTTTCGAAATTTTCTTGACATTTTCGTGACGCTTTCTTTAAAATATAAATACACTATTTTTAAAAGTTATTTTATTTATTTTAGTTGTAAAAATATATTTATCTCATATAGAATATATATTATATAGAATATAATATTAATATATATAATATTAATCGATCTCTTTATCGCGTATAGAATTTTATTTGCTACTATATTTATCAAATTATTAGAAAAGTTTAGACTTGTGTTATTTTTAAATTTAATAAGAAAAATATAATGAGAAATAGAATGACTATTATTAATGATACTTTAATGATTATTTCTTATTTTTGTACGTATAAATCTTTTTAACTTTCAAGTCAGACGTCCGTTGGACGTTGGAAGATTGCTCGCGATCGCGTCATTTTTATTTTAGAAAATCTTACCGGAGCGTCTCGTCTCGCATCTGGATGCACCATTGATCCGCGAGAATGCATGTCTTTCATCGGGAATGAATTCACTCTCTGACTGGCTTGCCTGTCAGAAGCGCATCCAAGGAACTATAACACAAACCAATGAAAATGTCACAAATATGACTGCAATTGGAAAGGTAGATTAAATCTCGAGTGGCGCAATTGTTGTTCGAGAAAAATTCCATAAAATATCAGGTTATTTATTCTTTTCCAATATTGTATAAAATTCGAGATCTTCATTTTTAATGAGAAAACTGATTTAGAAAGAACGTAAAAATTTAATGAAATGTGATCGATTTAAATTTGATGTTAATAATATAATTGTCGTGCACTTTTTTATCAATAAATTTCTTGGTCAGATTTTCTTGCAGTTTTCTCTAAGTTTTTGACATTTCCAGAATGTTATGCATACATTTAAATTTAAATAAAAAAGTCTTACCGTAAGAATGAGATGAGTCAGAACGTGGAATACCACGTATGCAGTAAGAATCCAGTCGACCCAATCCGGAAGTTTGGCCTTATTCAACCGCACCGCGAAGAAAAGCGCGATTACTGGAAAGAATTTTATAGATAAAAATATTTACTACTTATATGCTAATTATTATGCATATGCATACTGATAAAAATTAATCTTAGAATATACCAATCAATATATTTATTTAAAATTATATAATTTATGACGCACACTTTAAATCATATCGAATAAAATAAAGATTTATATATATATATATATATATATATATATATATATATATATATCTCACGCAAATAACTAAAATCAATAAATTTAATTCCTGCATTTAAAAAGAATAAAAATATAATCTCTCGTATTATTAAATTAAATTGCAATAAAACAGTTTTTAAAATATTGTAATAATTTTTTATTACGAAGAAAATATAAGCGCAAAAAATATAAATGTTCAAATAAATTAAGGGAAAAAATATGGTAAATCAAAATATATAGTCAAAAGCTTTGTCATATTTATAATATTCTTTAATATACTTACAGGCACAGATTTTTGCCACGTTACCAACGAACCAATGAGCCCAATTGAAAAGGGTTCTTCGTGGTGCACCAGGATGCGGTCTCATAGCCGCCATAAACGGCTGGATGAAGCAGAGAATAGTGGTAGCCAAGCCGACGGAAGCGTGTATCGTCTCGGAGCTCCATGTGCCTAATTCCACGAATATTATCACGAAGGCTGCGATTGTCATCGACCAGGTAAGCAACATAAAGAATCTGTGCCACTATGATAAAAATCAATAGAATTTTATTAGTGAAAAAAATGCGAGAAGAGTATAACGATAGCAGATGCCTTTTCTTTTACGCGATTTGCGCGTTAATGATGGATATTTTAAATGTCAAAAAACAAAATTGGCATGAGTTATGATACATCACTAGTATTTGCATATACATATAAAATATATGTGTAGCATATATGTGGAAAAGTCAACGTTAACTTTTATAATTCATAAATTATATAATAGCAATTTATTTTAACCAATTTATTTTAATATAAACTTTGTAATTTAATTTATCACTTTGCTCTGCTCATTATTGAATTATCACAAAATTAATAAATAAATTAAATTTTGCACGATTAAAAGCAGGGGATGAATTAAAAAAAGAGAATAGCATTTTTTACTTTTTAATTTCATACTGCCGATATGTTTGAGATTCAACTAAAATAGCAAACAACTAAATAATTTAGTAAAAACCTGGAATAATATGAAATGGGATAAAAAAATTTAAGAGATTAATTTAACAAATATTTAGTTTATTGATAAAATGATTCAGTAACGTGAAAATGTTAGAAATATTTAATTATAATATTATTAAATAGTAAACACAAATGAAAAGAACGCGAAGTATTTTAAGGAAAAATAAAATTGTAGAAAATATTTACTTGAATACTTATCAAGACATTTTCTTGAAACAAAAATAAACTCCACTCGCAAATTGAATTATCGGAAAATTAATGGATGCGCCAGTTTCTTCCGACCAAAAGCAGAAGTTAAAGAGAATGAATTAATAATAGTCGCGGTTATTTTATATACGTTGCCTGTGCGACTGCTATATTCAACGAGCAAGAAAATAAGTATATAATTTCGTGAGAGAATATGTTCCTCAAATAAGAGAATATTTGCGCGATTACTTGGAAAACCGTGTACTTACGGCGAACCAGTGATCCTTTCCGCATAGCTGCGAGTTGACCCACGTTTGTCTGTAATATCTCGCAAGCAGCATCCCGATGGACGCCGTGCCGATCCACGAAGCTAGCATAAGCGCGCCGTGAAGGCGAATCAGCAAGTCGCTGGCTGCAGTCCATTCTCCGACATCAGACAATCGCTTTGAGGTGCTGGTTCCAAGATAGGCGACATCGTGAAAGTCAACGCCATTTCCTAAAAAACCGCAAAAAAACCATCGCCGATATTCAAGAGCCATTCGCATAAAAGAAGAAAGTAAATTTTCTCGTTACAAAAGCATAATGTTGATGCATAATGAATCGATCCAATTAATTATTGCGCCGATGAAAATTTTAGAAACCATCAATCTGAATCACATCTCATTTACGTCGATATCAACATTCGAGCAGAAACATAAGAAAGCTATTAAATCTGCAGTTATCGCAACCTGCGGCGAAAAAAAAAGTTTTAAAGTTTTTACACGCTTCGCTCTCAGCGGAGGCATACGAGAAGCAAACTTCGCGCTACCTGCGCGAAGTTACCGAGGTTTCTTCTGTCTTTATTTAAAGGAATGTGACGTCGCGCCGTAAATCCGGCATTACCACTAGAACGTTAAATCGTAAAATACATTGTCGAGATCTATTAATCGCCGAGTTAAGTACACTAACAACTGGAATTGCAAATACAGCCTGTACGTACTTTTCAAATCTTTGCCGGCGACCACGAGGAGATGGTACGGAGTTTTGACGAGGTCGTACGTTCGTCCCTGAACAACAGTAAGCTTGTCCCGTCGGAACTTGCAATAAATCACGTCATCTTTGATCGTGCCGGTCTCCAGATTGACCGCGCCTTCCGACTGTGAACAAATCGCACAAATAAGGTCAACGTTTGTCAGGCACGATCCTCGCAAATCGAATCACAATGACTCGTGATCTACACAATAATCGCGGATCTAAAACAATCGCCCTACACTGTCGGCGAATTCCCTAATCAAATTGCAGTCAATTTTTTTCAACGAAAATTTTATTAAACATTTCAACATTAAAGTAATAAAAGTAAATTAAAATTGTATTAAAATAGCTTCTTTTTACATAAACTCTAGCATATGTAGTAGAAAGATCTTTTATGAATTTTGTAATTATTTGCGGAGCTTGAAGATTTACGGCATTATCGTAGCGGGAGCGACACCGCCAGCTACGAAGAGCATAATAATTGGTATTTAATGGGCTAGACTCGTTGTCCAACAGAGCACGGGGATGAATTAATTAGCACAAAGGTGCATCTAGTCAGAAGGCGGTGCGGCATAGCAAACGATACTCACCGTCGCATGGCGTGTATTACGCTTTCCGGTGTTCCAAGACATGTGTAACGCAATTTCGCCATTCTCGTTCGTGCACTCGACTACGCTGTCGTCACCCTGCGCATTTCACATATTATAAACTTAACCATTACTACTTAATCGTTAATCCTATAAATTACGCATGTAATTAATTGCATAATGCAACGTCGCAACTTTGGCAACGACGGTGTCATTAATTGTCAAACAGATGTTACATAATTTACAGCATTACATAAATAAGCGACATAAAGTATTTATGTAACGACTTTTGGCATCAGCCAATTAAAGATTGAAACATGTTTTACATTAAAATTCAAGACATTGTGCGTGCTGAGGAAACGCTTAACATCTCAAAGAATAGCGAAACATAATTGTTCTCAAAAAATCTGCAAAATTAAGAAAAAAAAAACGTTCAAGATAATCTCAAAGAAAGATAAAGAAAGACGCAGTATAATTCTAAAAATCAAGACAAAATAATACGAATTAATGTAAAGAGATTATAAATGTGCAGTGAGAAGTAGTTTCACGCCCGCTCGGCAAAATACTTCCGTGAATATTACGCAAGTTTCTATTTAAACTGCACGGGAGTCCGGCAAAAAGTCACGCGAGACAGCTTCAACGCAGCATCCTCGCAATTACCATATTCTTGTCGTCCGACAATCCGACAGCGACGTATTTGGCCTCCCCGCGTGTCTGCAACTCGAAATAATATTGGTCGCCTTGCACGGTCACGGCCACCACGGCGGTGCAATCCTTGGTTTTTATGCAGCCTGCGGGCGAGCCGAAGCAGTTCTTCGTGGTGTGGCAGCCCGTGTAGAACGGGTCCTCCACATCCTTCGTCTGCAACGAGAACACACACCTGGTGATGACGCGAGAATTCACAGGTGCCATCCGCGAGATACCATCTCTCGCGCGGAACGATTGCGGAGATTGCGCAACGTGCTACCGTTGTTTGAATCGAAATCAAGTGACAGCGTGACAGATGAGAATGAGAATGAAGTGTGGATAAAGGTGTTTTAGATACTTGTCGATCACCGGGATTCCCGTGAATTGCTTACGTTTTGTCGGAAAGTGATTGTTCGATTTCGATATCTGAGAGAAAGATGCTTTCTCTCACTTTTAAATAAGCCGTAAAAGAAAGTTCATTTAAAATGTAACTTGAAATGTAACTTGAACACAGTTACTCGTCAGGCTTGTAAGAATAAACAAGAAGATCAAGAACAAACGACAAGTGTCCAGATTTTTTATTACTTTCCAGAGCTGAAAAATATATAAGAAAAATGGAAGTTATTTTTATTATTCTTAAATAATTAAAAGTTGAATCTGAATAATTAAAAATTGCAAAAAATAAGTAGTTTTTGTAAAATTTACATAATTGATGCATAAAAAATGTTATAACGAAACCACTCTCTGCGTTTTAAAAAATTAAAAATATTCTGTGGTATAATACATAGATGTGGAATTTTAGATAGTTTTCGACAAAAAAGAGGCAAATATTGCGGAACACATTGTCAGGTGGAAACAAAATGTTATCACATTGTGTGGCAGAAAATTAAAATAATTATCATTCTTTTAACACTTATCTGTGCTCACTTTTATGACGCAAATAAGTGAACGCAAGTGTACTAAAAAAATTTTTTACGTGTTTGATGTATTATCAAAAATACTAAGTACACAAATTCTTGCGAAATTGTGGTAACAATTATCGTCTTAGATGATATGTAATCATGTCTAAATTCCTAGATAACACGCATGTCTTAAAGACATCTAAAAAATATGCGTCTTGTTTGGATAGTAATCATGTCTAACACCTATAGATATAAATAACATAAATTATATAAATATTTAAGATAGTTGTCTTCAATAGCTTACATGTGAGTCAGCACAGAAATTCGAATAAGGGGGACCTTGCAGAGTAAATCGTGCGCGACATTTCGCGAGAACGTAGCTCGTAATCGAATGAAAAGGAAATCTGTGGCAGGGAGAAAGAGAAGTTTGACGACCAGCCTTCAACTTAGATACGCTTCGCGAAATCGCGCGTTCACGCTCCGCCGGTCTCGTTCGCCATTACTGCTCTTTGGTGTACTTTTACGCTTTTTATCGAGCGATCGAGCGCCGTTTTCAAGGAAAGGTCACTCGCCCGCACGGCAGGATGTAATTATTCAATGAACCCGTCGCGCGTATTGTTTAACTAAATCGAAAAACAATTCATTCTCATCGGCAAAATTTTTTTTTCTCTTTCACAGCAGCAATCAAAATTCCGAATCATGAAATCTCTTGTCGAAAGGTCTGACAATTTATAAATATTGCAAAAACAGTCGATAGATTTTCGGCTTGATCAACTTGTTTACAAAAGTCTAAAAAATGCAAATATAATTTATACGTTGCGATTTATTAATTAAATACAGAAAGTTTGAATTGCATGTATTATGTGTGCAATCTTTAACTTAACAAATTTACATAAAATAGAAAATTTGAAGCATAAATATGAAAGGAATTAATAATGGATGTAGATTTTAAAATTTGAAAAATTTTTACAAAACAGTTTCTTTGTTCCTACAGCAGTAATATATATAGATCCTAGTAAGATTTCTCCCACGATTTCTCTCAGATTTCTCTCAGATTTTTCATAAAATTTTTCATTTTATAAGTTAAGGGTTAATCTTACACTTCGAAATATTTTCTATAGACGCTATTTCGCTCGCATCGAATTTACAAGGCAATCTTTTCTCTGCTTTATTAACCGCTTATAATTCCGCTAATTTTTAGAATTTAGAATTTTTAGAAACAACGAGAAAAGAGAATAATATTTATAAGCCCTACGTAAACGATGCAGGATTGATAGCATTTTCGCTCTGAAAAGAGTTGGAGAAGATTGCGCTAAGCGTTGAACAAGATGCCCTTCACGTCTACCATTCTAATCCATCACCGGAACACTTCCCTTCTTCGTTTT